CTGACTAACAGGCTGTCCCAAAATCTTCAGACTTCTTGGTTTTGGGATTTTGGGATTGTAGAAGCCATGCCATATGACTCGCATCATTTTAAACCATTCACTGACCCCTTGTTTTTGTTGGTCCCCATTTTGTTTAACTTGTCTTTGTGCTGGAGGATGCACGTGCAGCCGTACTCCTTCCTGCCAGTGGTTTCACACTATCTATCCTACTGATCAACAGGTTGTAGTAAGCAGCGCTGCACAGGCAAAGGCAGGACAGAAGGAGACTGCAACATTGGATTTAAGATATTGAATACTAAAATGATTTATGAGGAAGGAAATAAATGATTTATGGGGAAGGAAATGCATTCAGGACATGTGATAGAGCTCAAGGAAACACACAATGTATTTTAGTGAGCAACACTAAATCCCAACATGATGTTTGTCTTGGAAAACAGGAATTTCACATATACTGATTTTGTAAGGAAGTTTGGCAATGTATCATATTGAATAAGACTACCATCTGTTTTTTTGTACAAGATTTTTCTGCAAACGTTTAAAATCACAATCTGGAAAGTAACTATAGCTGTAGCTGTCATAATAAAAGTAGTGGAGCAGTTTAGATTTGTGTCCACATGTTTTTAACCAGAGACAGTGGATAAAATGAGACGGCCTACTTTAGATTCGTTGACTGTATCTGTGTCATGTGGGTTTCACCACTGCCTCACCCCTTTAGGAGCCTAGCAGCAGTCCTGAGTCCATTTATTTCAATGGGAAGAGTGAATGAGAGTACAGATTATGACCGTTCCCTTAGTCCCATAGTCACTGAAGTAAATATTGGACCCATTTTGTCACAAGCCCCCAACCACAGCCCTAAAAACATTCAGGGCTGTGGTCTCAGACGCCCAGGCCCAACCATGCTACTGACTGTACACTGCTGAAGTCACCCCCCCCTTTTTTTGGAGCTTAACTCCTCTATTGTGGAGCTGGTAGCAATTTTATTTCAGCCATGCTTTTTGTTGCTGTGCATAACAGTATGACATCATTATGTTACCAGGTGGGAATATTGTTATTATCAAGATAAAACATTTTTAAAAAGTCATATTAGAAATTATACAGTGTCATCGTGAACAGTATGATATGGCACACCCCCGGGGCGGACAGGTAATTGCAAATGAGTACAACAGCACAAATTTTCCCACGTTCTCTGAGATGGCTGCTCTACCAAACTTGCACTCAGTTTTAGAGAAAGTCTGAATTTCCACTGTATTTTGTGCTGATTCCTTTTCTTATTCACAGAGCGCTGCAGTGTGTGAGAGTTCTCCTGTCTTCATGCGTGTGTGTGTATGTGTGTTAGTAAATGGATGTGGGGGTTGACATGGTTCTCTCTCAGAGGAAGTCTGTGGTTGGGCCGTTTCTACATATTTTCCCCTCACACACACAGACACACACACACACACACACACACACATACACACACACACACGTTTTCCCTGTCAGACCAAATGAAGCTTTCTTTTAAAAGCACCATGCAGCCCCACAGATGTGGAAGCCATCTTTCTCTCACACATCTCCTGCTCCCTCACTCTCTCTCTCTGACACACACACACACACACACACACACACACACACACACACACACGCGCACACACACACACACACACACAGAAAAACATTCACTCGAATAAACACAAAAACCCACAGTCTCTTGGAGTGCGGTCTCCCCTGCAACCCCGGTGCACTGTGGGTAGCTGTGGTAAAAGAGGTCCCTGTGAGAGGCTGTCCAAAAATAGCCTGAGTAAAAATGCAGGAACGTGGAGCTCGCCCAGTGTCACACAGAAAAATCCACTCATCTGTGTGTATGTGTGTATTTTGAGGGAGTGTTTCATTTTGTTAATTTATTCCTAAATACTTGTTTACTCAGATAAAAATACCCTCTAAAAGCTCTCTTCCCTGGGAAAAACAGACTGTCTGTCTGTCTGTCTGTGTTTAACTGCTTCTCACTGTCTGCTGTCTCTTCCTCATTGAGATCGGTGTCATGGGAAAGTGACAGACAATGACAAATAAAGAAAGAAAGCAAATACCACATTTACTGTATCATACTTTATCATCAAATTTTTGGCTGAAAGATAAGTTCATACAGCTCTGTTTGAAAGCCTGTCCAAAACGTTGTGTAGGTCAGACTGTGTGTGTATCCATAGTTTCTCACTCAGCAGATATAAAGCAACATTTGTGTTCAATTGGAGTGGGGTTTCTTGCCATCTGACAAATGTGGGTCCAATATTCACTCTTCTTTCAGCTCTGTTTTGGTCTCCACCAACATCTGTGCGAAATATCAGGCTTTTTAGCTGTTAAATTCTAAAAATATGTACACCATAATGCAAACAGGTGAGTCCCCCCATCTTTCATAGTGAGAATATTTATCATTTCAAATGCATAACAAAATTTAGCTGACCACTTTAGAACACAAAACAGAGATTATTGTATTGAGTATCTGTTGAAGCTTTTTAACGTTTCAAACTATAGTGTCACAACTGCTGTCTGAAGCACACTGGGTTCCCCTTAACCTGACACTGGGTTTCGGGGCATGTACTATCTCTCATCTGATGCGAAAGCTGTCGGGAATCTGGCTCTCGAGCTCTCTCTCCTAACAGCGAAGCTGCAGGGCACATAGTGTCTCTCTCTTATTTGATGCTAACACTGCTGCGGTGTCTGCCTCATCTGTAATATAGCCTATATTCCTTTAGTCTTTGTCTTTATGATTAGGTAGGCCTGTTTCATCCTCATGGACCTCGCTGTTGCCTCCTGAATCTTACTGACTTCTTCTGATGTATTTAACAAATAAATCTTTGGACCAGCAAAGATTTAAATATTGGCTCTGAGAATGCATCATATCATGATGTGCATCCTATGTACTCAGATTTTAAAAGTAATAAAAACTTTTTTATATATATACTTTTTATAATAGCTTTCGACAGGTGGGGGTTGGGCCCATTTGGACTGCGGGGTGCAGGAGTATACTTTATGGGCCAGACTGCCACAAGGACGTCATTAAATGAATATTTGTGTATTTACTGAAACTGTCGAAAGACATATCTAGTGCATAAATAGTTCTTGAGAGGATTGAAAAACAACTACATGGGCAACCTTACTGTGTATTGTGCCACTATTTGACATCTGGGAAAGATAACCTTTTCCCCAATGTGATCTGACAGAAATATGTGAAATGTCACTGCCTTTAAAAAATGCATTATGTGGTGGTTGCACATATTGTGTTGAAATTGCGTGGTTGGTGGTCTTTGACTACCTATGGGGTTGTAACATTAACCACCTTCCATTGCGTGATCATGCTGAACCAAGGAATTTGTGTCCATGATGATAAATGATTTTAATTGGCTTTCCACTGGCACTGTTTCTGTGCTGCCGGCACATAATTTCAACACAATACATGCCACCACCATGTAATGTGGTGTTAAGAGGTTGTGGTGATTTCACATATTTCTGCTAGACCAGGTTGCTTTTCCTATAACAAAATACCTTGGCAAATGTTAAGAAACGGTTTAATCCACACTGCAGCAGCTTGGATTTACCTTGAGACATGGTTCTGTGATCCTACTCATGTACACATTCTCTCACCTCATGAAAATACACACAGACACACACACACTCACATATTTGGTGGTTGCATTGCTGCCCTCCTGGCTTAGAGCCATGGCCATGTAATATAACCTGGAGTCTGTCTGACAGTGTGACGCTGTAGACTGGGCCTACTGTGCTGCTCAGGGGTTAATAAGTAAACACTTCTAGTCTCCTTATTACTACTGCTCATTCTCCCACTGCACTGCTCTCCCTCTCACAGATAGACAAAACAGACAGCACAAGGTCAAAGAAGACAGACTTAATCATTTGTTGACAGCCTACTGATGATATGATGTTTTGTACTTTTTTTTGTTATTATCAGACTGAACTGAAGACATGAGAACTGGAGCATTCTCACATTTACTTTTAATAAACAAATGAGGTCATTGTCTCAGGATAAAATACCACAGAGTCATATTTTAGCGCTATTGGTGTGTGAAAAAGCCATTGATCAAGGCACAGTTCCTGGGCTGTGGCAGCAAGAACACACACACACACACACACACACACACACAAATAAAAGAAGAAAACATTTTAAGGCATATGATATTTATTTTGGATCATTTTTTGTCCACTCAGTCAAATACAAGCGTTTACTTTTCCACTAGAACAGCACTGACATCCTGCAGCACCAAACACAAACATGCACACACACACACACACACACACACACACACACACACACACGCACACACACTTTATGTGTGTGTGTGTGTGTGTGTGTGTGTGATTTACTAGTCCAACACTCAATTGTACTGGAGAGCTTTTGACGTAGTTGGTGGTTTTTCCTCTTTCACAGCAGTAATAGCGTGGGGAGGGAGGAGAGGCCTCCGTCTCCCAAACACAGAGCTTTTTATTTTTCTGGGAAACCAGCTGGTTTTTGATTTCAGAAAATTGCAATTTTGTGTGTAATTCCAGGTCACATCAGGCTGCTGCTCCTTCCTTAGGCTAATGTACAACTGGTTAATATTTTTCATAAGAAACAGAGAATCAATCTTGTATAGTTCTGGAAAAGCAGATCTCAGTTTTCATGTCCTTTGTTTATCATTCATATTTTGCATGCTGTTTCCTGCCATAGTGAAACCTTAGATTTACTGAAGAGGAGTACATCAGAGCTTTAGACAGTTTTAAACATCACCAGCAGAGGAACTTCACAGAACAACTATCAAATCTCACACAGGACACATGTTCAATGAAATATCAAAATACTGAACTAATGCTCAGTTAAGATCTGATCTGTTGCAATAATAAAAAAAAAATACATTTCAGTGCTGCAGTGATGTTGCCCAAAAAAACAAACAAAGAAAAAACTCTGGCATTACAGTAAATGCTCTCTCTCTCTCTCTCTCTCCCTCTTTCTCTCTCGTTTTCTCTCTCCCCAGGTCTATTTAAAGGCTCCTATGATCTTGAATGGGGTGTGTGTGATCTGGAGAGGATGGATTGACCTACAGAGGCTGGATGGGATGGGATACCTTGAGTACGATGAGGAGAGGGCGCAGGTAACACAACACATGTATACAGACAGAGCAAAGCTGAAGTCATAGAGTTAAAGGGAAATTTCGGTTTATTTCAACCTCTCTTCTATCGTCCTAAATTTGTTTCAAGTGACTAGTGACATAAAAATAATAGTTAGCATGTTTGCCGTTAGCCTAGATACAGTCAGGGTGCATAGTAGCATCAGACCTGTTAAATTGAACGGGCAACCTTCAAGTGCAAAGTTAGTCCACTAAACAAGCTTTTTTCCACAAAGACGCCTCATATCGTTAGGATAAATGTCAGAGAACATATAGAAAATGACATGTAAACGTGTTGTCTTACCTTACCGGTGTGGTGCCATGTTTGTTTACATTTACCTCTGCCGAAATATGGCGAGCTCTAGATAAAGCCCAGCTGGATACTACTCCAGGTGGAGGTGTCTCGTCCTCGGTCACATCCAGACCTTGAAAACAAGGCTGCAACCGGTCCCATTCCTTGCAACAGAGGCATTCCTCTTCTGTGGGCACTGGGGCACAGCATTCACAGGTACACCACCAATCTCCAGAGCTACGCAACCTTGCAGCAGCCATTCCACTTTGTGAAATTGAAAAACGGAGGAGGAGAGAGAGAGAGAGGCGCAACAGATAGAGGACGAGAGAGGAGGAATGGCTGCTTTAAGGTTGCGTAGCTCTGGAGATTGGTGGTGTACCTGTCAATGCTGTGCCCCAGTGCCCACAGAAGAGTAATGCCTCTGTTGCAAGGAATGGGACCAGTTGCAGCCTTATTTTCAAGGTCTGGATGTGACTGAGGACGGGACACCTCCACCTGGAGTAGTATCCAGCTGGGCTTTACCTAGAGCTCGCCATATTTCTGCCACGCTTTGGAAAGCAGAGCTAAATGGCAAACAAAAATGGCGCCACACCGGTAAGGTAAGACAACACATTTACATGTCATTTTCTATATGTTCTCTGACATTTATCCTAATGATATGAGGCGGTCTTTGTGGAAAAAAGCTTGTTTAGGGGACTAACTTTGCACTTGAAGTATGCCCGTTCACTTACTTTTAACAGGTCTGACGCTACTATGCGCCCCGGCTGTATCTAGGCTAACGGCTAACATGCTAACTATTATTTTTATGTCACTAGTCACTTGAAACAAATTTAGGACGACAGGAGACAGGTTGAAATAAACCGAAATTTCCCTTTAACATTTGGGGGGACCAAATCTTCCCCCAGAAAAAAATAATTACAATTTGAAAACTCATTCATCATAAGTAAGTACAGCTGTACAGTATAGTACTACTCCAGTGTGCAGTAAATAAATGCTACTTCTGTCTACAGAAATTACACATGCAGCACAACATAAATGACTGACACTTAGACTTCACATGGGCTATTTGACCATATTTATGTAATAAAGACATTAATTTTAGTTGAGTACACTCGTGAGCTGTGTTCTGCTGGGGTATGGCAACACCACTTGGACAAACCTCATGCAGAACTGCAGTACACTGTGACACTAGAACCAGTGGTCATAATGATAAAGGCAGTTTGTTAAGTTTGTTCATGATAATGATTTGCAAATAATTTCAGATACTTGTTTACATTTTATATAAACCAATTTTACACTGCCTCTTTAAGTAAGGAATTTCACACAGTTATGGCGCCTTACAACCTTACCACTCTGTCTGATCGTGGAATGAGGGAACAGAGTTGTCTTGCCTTCAAGCTGGCATTGGAGGTAGCAACAGCGCTGAATCAATGTCTCTATAAAGAGGACAGCCAGCAGGACGGGATCATGGGAGGTGTGATGTTTTGACGAAGTGTTATGCGTGCAGCCACCTCACAAGATAAGAATAAAAAAGAAATAGGCGATAGCAGTTAGCCGCTAACTCAAAGAAGTAGAAAAACAGTCACAAATGTCCACAAATTGGGAAAACAATGAAGTCTTGGAGCTCCTTACCCTTGGAGCAGCAGAGGAGATCAGCCGCCATATAACAGACAGTAAATGATTGTTATTGCCATGTCAGTGTTATTATCTACAAAGTACTGCCGCCGCATATGTTATATGTGATACTGTAGGCTGAATTGTGTTACATGTCACACCTGTTATGCCTCTTTTGATTCCACAATGCTATCTAAAATCACACACTGAAGCAGCATGATGCTGCTGTTGATTGGTTGTGTGTAAAAATACAAAGGCAACATAAAGGGGGGACTTCCTAGCGGCCCTATAGCGCAGTCTTTGTGTAAACAGGGCCATAATTACTTCCATGAGACAGGGTGATGTATTCTCTGCATCCTTCTTGACAGATCTTAATCTTTTCCTCCTGAAGTCATATCCCTGTCTCTGTCATGTGTAAACAGAATTCACTCTCACTCTCTGTCTGTGTGTGTGTTTGTACAGCAAGAAGATGCTTTGGCCCAGGCAGCGTTTGAAGAAGCTCGACGCAGAACCAGAGACTTTGAAGAAAGAGACCGATCACACAGAGAGGATCTAGAGGTGAGAGGGCCCTGTGAAGGTGATGTTTATAGAGGACCGATGCTGCTCTGCCTTCTCAAAGACAAGTGGACTGTTACTGGACAGTGTAGCTCCAAAGTGCGCTTCCTCTTTAAACCTATCTTAACCTCACAAAGCCAGCCTAAATGCCATAATGTCATAAACAGCCACCCTCCTGACTCTCATCAGCCACTTCTGTAAAAGTAACCTAACACCATACTGAAATACATTTTTTCACTTCAGGTCTGTTGCACCTCTGACCACAGCCATCATCTCCGTTGGGTGTGCTCCACTGCACCTGTAAGCACACCCAACGGAGATGATTCAGTGGCCACACCCTGAGTACACTTTTACATTATTGGAGGTTATCAAATACAAGAATTACAGCTGCTATTAAGTTACTTTGTAAAGTAAACACTTAAATTAAAAAAATAAAACATGATCCAGCAACTGCATGAACTTTTCAAACCTCAAATTTATTCAGGATCTGACATCACTGAAAAATGTTTGAGACATTTTTTTCAGTTTGAAAATGGGAAGCAAAGACAACAGACATTCAGGTAGCTGGTTTATCCAGTGCACATGTAGAAAGGGCTCATGTTGATGTCTGAGTGAAGCTGTTAGTTTTCTACAGGGGTTTTTCACGCTGTGTTTCCTGAGAGTGGAAGTCGGCACAGGCACTGGAGACATACTTACAGTATGTCTACTTGCCGGTCAGTAAAAATATAGACTGTAGAGGGTAACAAATGATTTCAGTGGAGTCTCTTCACAACCTGCTGAAGACTACAGTGACTGATGTCAACAGATTTGCCGACAAGTTCTCATTTACTTCAGTTTAAAACTTTGGCCAACAATTAACAAAGCTAAGTGTTTTACACATGAAGTGAAAAAGTCATATCATCCTAAATTGGATAAATAGATAAATGGATAAATGGATGTTGAGTGTATCCCATCATGCAGTTAGTCATAGCTAGGTTTTACAATTTAAAACATTTTTAAAACAGTTAAAATTCTCATATTTTCCCTTTTGATATATGCATTGTCCGAGATATTACATGGAGCTAAGTTAGCACACACATGCAAGTTTTTAATATCATCTACTATAACAAGTTTCCATTTAGATTTTAGTGTAATATCTACTCTCAGGTACTTAAACTTAAAGGTGGTGAAGAATAGTCACGGTCAGGGCGAGGGACGGTAGCCGCACCTGCTGAGGTGACGTCCTCCTGATGTCCTGACATCAACGTCAATTCACTCACAAGCCCTCTCAGATGGCAAGATGTTGTTTCCAGCTTCTTTCCCAGTTGTGCCAGACAAAACTCAATGGAATAGTCCAATTTTTAGGATGGAGATGAATAGATATCCTCATTATCAAAATGAAAACTCTAGACATAGTTGGTCCACTTTGAACATGGTGCCCTTGTCTATTCTGATTGCTGTAACCCAGCGAGCTCCCAATCCATCATCTAATTGACAGTCATGGAAACTTAAAGTGATGATGCATTTGCTTGTTGTTAGAACAACATGACGCACAGCAGTCACTTATGCAACTGATTGTGCCATAGTTATGCTCCATTTCTCAATGGGAGTGGTAGAGAATCTGAAGTGAGTCTCTGAAGACTGTCTACTACTGCCGACTCTCGGATCACACAGCGTGAAAAGCCCCTATTTGAAATGAGTCCTCCCTCGGCAGACCACAGAGAACAAAGTGAAATTTAAAGTTTTGTGGGCTGGCTTTGCTTGGCTAAACTCAGCCTACTGGAAATTTGCAAAGAGTATTTTTAGTTTCACGAATGAATAGTTCTAAAGCAGACGTCATCAAAACAGCTTGTTAACAGAACAATTTACACTGTCTTACTCGCAAACCAACCAAAAAATTATTTTGCACTCTAAAATGACATTACATATAATTTGTAATTCTATATTGATCTGTGTTAACAGAAGACTAAACACCATTTTATGAAAGCCACAGAGTCAAATTTCCAGTAGGGTTTTCTTTGTTTAGCGCTTTGGATGGCTTAGGGTTGTGTGACGTGTGGTTGTGTGCTTTTACAGAATGTTTTTGATTTAAATAGTATTTTCACAGTTTGAATCATAGGTCTAGTGCATGATCAGTTTGATGATAAATCTAATCTGATAATTGATTTGATATTATTGATCTATTGAATGACTGATTCAGTTTTCTCAGATGTCCCAAAAGCCTCAGGAGGGAAAGTAGTTGATTTACTTTGTGCTGCAGATCACAGAAAAATAATAATAACAATAACAACTGTAATAGACAAATTCCATAAATGTAAATTTAATCGAATTTTGTTAACTGAATTATCATCATGTACAAGTTTGTGCTGTTTGCAGTGTCTTACATATACACAAATTCAGATATTCATATGCTGTCAGTTTGAATTTTGTAATCGTCCCAAATGCATTTTAACTACTTGAGACTTTCCCAGCAAGGCTTTGGGGAGATCAATGGCATCCTTCCTAAGTTGTCGAAGTTACGAATGAACCCCAAATTGTTTATTTTTTAGGACCCTGTGGTTTCTAAAATCTGGGACTGATGACACACAGACAGACAGCCAGCAGAACAGAACAGGGTCTGTGTCCTTCATTTCTCACCATCTATCACACTGTCATGCACTAAACCACCCTGTGTGTATGTGCATGTGTGTGTGTGGTTGTGTGTGCGTATGTGTGTGCACATGTGTCCAACTGTTTAATTTATGTATGAGCAATATTGTGTTTGTCCATTATTTTCTGTGTGTCTGTGACCACAGGCAGCTGTGTGTGTTTTAATTTTCATGTATGTGTGCGTTTGTTAGTGTGTCTATATGTGAATATGCATGCACTTCTAATGGATTTTATGACTATAACATCTGCTCCTGCTTGTTTGAAGGGGAGCTATTATGCTTTTCCTTATTTTCTGTCATATTTATAATATTATAATGTTAGGTACTCATATTAAATCTAGCCAGAGTTTCAAATAATGTGGTACACGAATGTAAAAGTAATCCCTGTGAGCAAAACCCTAAGGCTTCAGACTGTTCTGAATACTCAGTTTCCAACATCTTTTCTACTCTTAAGACAAGCTGATGTCAACTTGTAATGGATTTCCTTATATGGTAATCTGCTCCAGGCACTCTGTTGCAATTGTTTACATTCTGTAACTGACACTGCTACATGTAGCTACACGCTAACGTCAGGAAAACATGTCATTTTGGTTGCCAGTGTTGATAATCTTTCTTTGATTTCATATCATGTTCCTGCTGGAGCTTTTATTGGTAATGTCCAATGGGAACAAGTGCTGCTATATCAAATAATCTTTCCCCACCTGCAAGTACAGTGCTACATGTAGCTACATGCTCACATCTTGGAAACTTGCAATCTAGGTTGCCAGTGTTGTTGATTTATGATCAATCCTGCTGAATCATGCAAATCATGAAAATTTTTGCTTATAAGCTTTTATTAGTAATTTTTCATAGTAGAAGGTGCCACTATTGTTATACATTTGTTGTTACATATTCATCCTCCAGCTGCAATTAAAGTGCAGGGAGGCCGAGATACGGAAGACCCAAAACACTGACCAATCAGAGCAGGCTGGGCTTTTTCAGGAGAAAAGCTTAAAGTGACAGGCACTAAAGTGGAGCATTTCAGTCAACGGGTTAGAACAGGTACATTCAGGCTGACAGTATAACTAAAATAGTTTTTTTTTAACATTAAAGCATCTAAACATGTTCTAGTACAAACCCAAAATACAAGTATGAACCTTAAATTGAGCATAATAGGTCCCCTTTAAAGCTTGTGTGTCGTGAGACAGAAATAGCAAGATGTAACCATTTCACAGCTAGTTTGCACCCTGACACGAACCCCCCCCCCACACACACACACACGCACACAAGACCTACCACAGCTTTTCAACACATGGTCCTGCACAAATTAAAGAGAAAGGAAAAGCAGGAACTCAGCACATGAAGAGAACAGAGGGCTGAGACAAACACAGATGAGGGGAACAGAAAGACAGCAGAGAAAGAAAAGAAAGAGAGGCATTTATTGAAGGTCGTCTTTCATCTGACTGATCTCATGTTTCCTCCCTGAGGCTCAAGGAGAGAAAGAAAACCCTGTGTCTCTGGCTGAATCAATATAAGTACCATCACTATCCCCCAAAATACCCATATACCCATATAAAAAGGCATTTGATTTGGTAATGGGAAAGATTTAGGTTAAATAAAAAAAATGGAAACTTTGTCCCACTTTAGATTAAATTCTGGTTTCATAGAGAGTACTCTAGCCATTTCTCTACTAAATCATACCTCACATTTTTTCACTGGCATAGGCTTCCTTAGTATTTAAATAAACTGTGTTAAACAGTAAAGTGATAGTTCTTTTAACAAGTTTCTTGAAGGTCAAGTTACAGGAGTAGTTCAACATTTTGGGAAAAACACATTTTAGTTTTCTTGATGGACTAAGTTGAAGTTGAAATTCTCATTTTTGTGTGTTAAGTATGAAGCTGGAGCCTCTTTGTTAGTCCAGCTCAGGATAAAGACTGGAAACACTGAAAAACAGCTAGCCCCCAAAGTAAAAAAGAAAAGTAATGAATACCATAAATCTAAACTGATTCATTCGTAGGTCTAAATTTAATCGCTAGTTGTAGTTTTAAAACTGGTCTCCAAGGTAGGAGATAAACTTTTGCCAACATTGCCTGCAGGAAAAAGATTCACATTGCCTTTCAGGGCTTTCAAAGTTTTTCTTGCAAATAAATTCATAAGACAAATAAACAAAAATTATAATTTTTTTTACCATTAGCTGTGTGTTCTTTTTTTCTTTTCTTTTGTTTTTAATCAAATACATTTCTTTGCATCTAGTTCACTCCCTGACCATTCTAATGAATGCACTCAATCAAAACACCAAACACACCACAGTAAGTGTTATTTCCGTGGAGTAAACACATTTGTGGATAGAGCAATTATATACAGAAAGAAATAATTTTAAATCCAAGCACTAGCTCTGACGCTCTTTTTACGGCACATCAGATCCATTTTTGTCTCTACCAGAGCATGTGAGCGTGCTTTTAACAGCATGCAGTGCATCTCTCCCTAGATGTGATTTCGAATTTAACGAAAATGAATAAACCTCAGGATCAAACATGTACTTTCAGAATTTTGGATGACTTATGACTGTTTTTCTTCTCTGACAAAACTGATAAATGCGGGATGGTTATAATCTCTTTATGGAGACATCATAAGATGAAAACAGTTTAAAATCCTACAGGTTTGACTGTACAGATTCCAAAAGTTCTAAAATACCTTCATGTATTTTTGCTCATAATCTGCACAATCCTTAGAAATTAAATCTTGTCCTTTTTAGGTTGTTTATTTGTCTGATATTCCTAAACTGAGGCCCTGGGCACACAGAGTGCAGTGCAGTAGCGATGTCAATAGAGTGTTGGTAGAGAGGATTAGACAAGCTGTTGCAAAATTAGTTTCATAACAAAATAAATATGCATATGAATCAAATTTTAGAGTTCAGATTGCTAGGAACAGCAGTCACAGAGATGCAGATGTGCTTTAAGCTGTTTCTCAGGGTGTGACTGACGAGCATTGCTGAATAGCTGCACAGATTCAGCCTCTGCATTTCTGTGGTCTGAACTCCACCTCTCCTTCTGCCTCCCTTTGTCTTCAGTTGGCTGATCTAGTTATCTGTCTGTACTGTTAACTTCTTGTGTCTGTCTGGCATATAGAAAAGGAAAGACATGTATGCATTTGTTGCACAATATGAAGTTAAATAAACTGAGATGATTCCATGTATATTTATAGTCTACATTTGTAGAACATACATTTTGATTTCCGCTCTTGAAAATCAATAATAGATGATCAGGCAGAGAAGCAGAAACGCACAAGCGTGGCACAAGGAGCAGTGGGGGAGAGAGGATAGCAGAAACAGAGAAGGAGAAATATGTGAAATATGAAGAAGTTAAATAAGGCAAGACATGGCATAAAGGGTCTGGCATACAGTTATACGATAGTATAGGCATACATTTGGCATGCCTGCATCGTGCATGAATGATAATATCTTTGAGAAATACTATTTGTACAACATTTCAGTAGCCTGGCATCGTCAGCCCAGTTTGCAAATGCGAATTAATCTGGAATCTCTCAGTTCATTTTTGATTTCCCATGTGACGCTATCAACGGCTGTAGATCAAAATGCCTCTGGAAACAATTGCATAAACTTACAGCCAATCACAGCAATAAAACTTGATGTAGCACTGAGCGACAGGCAAATGTTAACAGTCTACAGCATGCAGAGATGAGATTAGCTGTGATGGTGTAGCATTAGTATGTCTGTGAATGAGTGTTGCCATTTTTGCCGTCAGAATTTAGAAATAGTACTTCGGCAGCTATCTTGATTGTTTTTGAAAATGCCTTAACGGTCTCGAGTATTCCCTCTATGGGGTCCCTGGTTCAAGGGTGCGCGACTGTGGTCATTGATATGTTTCCAGGGTCTTACGTTTCCCAGATTTATATGACACATAACTGGGACACGACAAAGGGTCTTATGTTCCCCAGCTCTGTATTTTCATAGTATGACATCAGTTAGGCTAGGGGACTAAAGTCATGACTCTAAGAGTAATGAAACTGTATTAGCTAGGTTTAATTCCCATTTCTAAACAGACTGAGATTACAAAAAGCTCAAAGGGTCAGGTTAATACAAAATATCCATAAAAACTGACTTCCCCCATCTCCAAACAGGTTAAGGTAGCACAAAGACCAAAGCTTCACATGCACTCTTTTTTTTTCGTCAGTTTTAATCCTACAATTGAGTCTATTAGCTCTTTGTCTGATATGTCTTATGTACTGATATGGAGAAAAAACCAACACAAATTTAGGAACGAAGACTGACAAGAAAGTGGCATGAACACCACAGAAGGATTGATGTGTGTCAACAGATTATTGAAAAGGGAAGTTTAGGAACCTGGGAACATACTAGATGCACTCGCACGCAAGCCAAAAATAACATCATCATGTATTTTGCATTAAGTGCAAAGGCTCCACAAGTTGTCAGTCACTGTATCAAACCTGCCCTACATCTGATAAACAACTGTGATTGGCAAAGAAAAAAAAATCAATTAAAATATGTGCTTGCAGATTATTCTTTTTCCTGGGCTAACATTTCAGTATAATTTACATAGAGCACACACAAGGTCTTGACTGATATACAATATAATTGTAACAATGTTTTGTCTGATGTCGCCACAAGTGGTATTCACCATCTAAACATTTAGCATTTTCAAGCCAGTATCTCAGTCTGAGAAAACATGTCTAAAACATTCCTTAAACATACCACTGAAACCCAGAATAAGGAAGATGTTAAAGCTTATCAGCAGCTGTAAATGAAACCATTAGATTTACTTATGTGTTGACTTCCTGTATGATCAGTAACAATTAGCGTGAATTCATAATAAGCGCGTCCACATTTTGCCCCTTTTTGCCCACTGGCATTAGCAGTTAATCAGCTGTCCTTTGGTTCATGACCAGTCTCTTTACAACATCATGTGCAAATCTGAGAATCCATTTGGAAGTTAAGCACCTTTTTTGTG